GCTGCAAATTTCGATCGACCATTTAACCGTCACAACCCGCAATCAGCGCGAATATCAGCGATAGCGTTATCGTTCGCGCGTTAAAATTACAAGTTAGATTATCACGACTGCTCGAAGAGAGAAATGTCATTGTTCCGATATTATATCCAGACAATCAACATCCAAAATTAAGACATCTTTTAGACGTCTTATAATGATATCTTTTAAACGACTTATATTAACGTCTTGTGTCCTAATTTTGGATTTTTATTGTGAGTGTACCTCCATTAAAGAAGTTTGAATATTGGCCAATATTAATTGCTGGCCAATTTATTACTGAAAGACAGTAATTAATTACTTATTGCAATATAAAGAGTACTATTGTTCAGTAATTTTAGTATTTCAATAAATAATTAATTATTGAAATACTAAAAGTAATTTGACAAAAGTCCAAAATACTAATAGTACAAAACAACAATACTTTAAATACCTAAAATAAATAATAAATTAAATAATTGCTATTTTTCTTTTTGCCTTTCAGTATGAAATTAATCAATATTAGATTTCTGCAAAGATTTTGGTTTATTAATTGTCGCCAGAAACGCATGGAAAAAAGATAAACAGCTTATTCATGCTCTATCCCCCCTCCCCTTCCCCCCCCCCTCTCTCAATCTCTCACCATACATACCCATACAGCGCATTTTATCGAGGGATATTCTGGGAACATTCTTAGGACGTAGGAAATCTTCGGGAATGTCTATAGGACGTTCCTTGGACACTTGTACCCTATGGATCACGTATACGCACGCTTCGTGCTGTCAACGTAAGGTTAGCATGAAAATGAACGTTTATTCTAGTACCTCGTTGGTAGTATCTTTTATCACTTTTACGACGGATGCGAAAGCTGATGATTTCCGCTCACAAAATCGCTCGCGATGTTACGAGCTGTCATCTGAAGTTCAATAAGCAGAACCGACGATCAACCGCCACACCCTACCACGATGCAGTTTCACGGAATACTGAGGTCAATTCACTGAACTGCGGCGACCTCGGCCGGCAGGTGTGCCAATCGACCGCGGCGAAAAATCCCTAGGCCGAACTCGACGCGCAGCGCCCAATCGATGCGACGAAAATAAAAAGAGAAAGGCATTTTTACGATCGAATCAATCAGAAGTCGATTGCAAAGTACGTAGTAAATAAGGCTGCGTTAGTAGAACGTTTATTTTTCAGTTGTTGGAAATTTTCGCTGAGATAGGATTATTTCCTAAAAGTATAATCCAATCAGCATGAAGAAAACGACAATTCCAATAGTTGTAAAATAAACATTCTGTTAAAACACGATTAGAAAGATATTTATTTGCGGAAAATGTATTATTCGTGGTCGTGACATGACCATCTGTGACACGAAATGTTCCTTGTTATAACAGCATTGTCGAGCGCGCGAAAATGCAAATTGGTAGATGATAGAATCAGAGTCCAAATAAAATTGGAGTAACTGATAGAAGTTTAGATCTTAATAAGATATAAAGAAGAATAAAGAAGAAGAGAAAGTTATAAAGCATGCAAAAATGCATCTTTAAAATCGAAAAGGAAAGCAAAGAGAGTTCTTATACTTCTGGAACAACGATAATTTCTCAATAAAAGTTTTGCGTATTATTCACACAATAATGTTTCAGTAGACGTAGTATTTCTTCCGGACGTATTTTAAGAAGTAATATGTGTATGTCGTAATTTGGATTATACATTTTGTAATGTAACTCGTATTGTCTTTAGAGGCTCTTTACTCGATCAGTTTACGTTTTTATTTATTTAATTTATTTATTTTTTATTCTTATTTATCTGTAACAGTAACTTTTCGAAGTTGGGAAGAAAGTTGATCAATATAAATCATTAATAATATAATGTCATAATTAATGTAATAAAATTCATTAATACGTAATTGTAATAATTAATATAATAAATTATTAATAATAAATATAATAATTAAAAAGGAAAAACACAGAAATTAATTCTAGAAAAGCGCTCACGTCGTATCTTCGTAATGAGTTCTTTTATTTCTATCAACGTAGATTAACTTTATTGATGTCACTTACTCTTTATCTTTAATAATTTAATTCTTAGAATTAAAAGAAAAAAAAGACAAATTAAATCTAGATTAAAGTTAATCTATATTGAAGAGGTAGAAACGGGGATTAGAGTTAGACTTAGACTCCAATTAACTTAATCGACGATTATTAATTTGAGAGAGTTATTTAAAACCAATATTAATATACAATTTTATATTATAATTTATTATTTGTAATTTAATCTTTTTTCATATGTAAAATGCAACAAAAAATTAATTCCATAATAACGAAATAACACAGATATTGTTTATTTTCTACAATAACAATACAATTTGAAAAACAAAGTTTAAAGAGAAAATGAGTTTAAATGTTTTGAATCATTAAAATATTGTAATAATAATTTTGAAATGAAATTTTAATATAATAATTGATTATAGAGAAATAAAAATATATTATTTTAAAGTATGTACTTTCTCTTATTTTCTTTATATCTCCTTTTTCTGAAAGAAGTTGAAAATGAGTTATTGTAGCAGATAAACCATCATAATCATCAATTAAGTTAATCGAAGTTTATTGAAGTCACTCTTACGTGCAATTGGACGTCGTCAAACATAAATTGCACAAATCGCATCACGCTACGAAGAAAAGATACTCCCCCTCCATGCTCTCTTCTAGAATATACAAAGTCGCATTCTTCCCAAAAATAATTTCAACGTCAAACAGGGTTTCACGTGTTAAAAATATAAAGAATTAACGAAAGAAAGGTGCGTCGAATTGCTTCTTTTCTCTTCTCTTCATCAGTTCTTCTTCAGATTTGGCGGCATGCACAGGAATCATCGGAGAAGATTATTCCGCGACGCGGATCAAGGATCATTTTACGAAGGTGGAGGATAGTGGTAGCGACACAGTATAATTAAACAATAAATGGTGCACCTGTCGGATGATCGAGGCGCGAATAACGCTTGGCGCGGTGCGATCCATGGAAACGTCGCCGCCGTCGCCGTCGCCGTCGGCGACGGCGG